ATTATTTTTTTGAATTTTGAGCTCATGGTCTACCAACAGTGATTTGTGTCCTCTTTTCAAAGTAATTATTGTAACTATGGTGTACGAAACATAAATGTTGGGGCCTTACAATTTACAACAATTATTTTCATTTTATAACATATGTGGTAAAATTTATCTAAAATTTGTTTTTTAAGTTACAAAAAACTATTAAAATGCATAGATAAAATGTGCGGCATTATCGCATTACAAACAATCGAAAATACATTTTCAATTTAGCTAAGAAATTAATATAATTGTCATTCACGTGTAACTTGCAAGTAATATATGCAATGTCTTGCAATATACAGTTTATCGTACATCTCTATTTTAATAAATTTTACATACGAGGTGCAATCATTAAGTTCCGGGACTGGTCCCGTATATGCAGATAAAGTCACCTGTTTCAAATTTGACTACTATCCCCTTCAAAGTACACCTCTTGCGCAGCTATGCACCGATCCCAGCGCCTCTGTCATTTTTGGAAAGTTTCCAAGAAGTCTTCTTGTTGAAGCGTGTTAAGCACCTGCTGCGATTCGCGTTGAATCTCGTCCACCGTGTCAAATCGGCGACTCTTGAGCTTTAATTTCATTTTGGGAAACAAAAAGCAATAATAGGGTTCCAAATCTGGTGAATACGGAGGGTGAGGAAGGACGACAATTTTCCATGTTTCTTTTTTTGTTTTTTTATTTCCCTCTGTTCCAATTTGGAGTCCATCGTGATTTCGCAAAGGAGAGCCTGCGTATGCTACCATAAACTTGTACAACACAGGATTCAATGAAGATATCGCTTCCAAATTTCGTGTCATATGTCTTGAAGATTGTTATTCATATGTCCTGCGAGCGCCAGTCAATCGCGTGATCCGTTTGGTCACAGCAGACACAATCCCGGAACTTAATGATTGCACCTCGTATATTTAAGAATCTAATGTTAATTAGTTTATTTAAATAAATAAAATTTAAGATCTGTATAATTTTATGTAACTATTTAAACGTTGAGATGGTTAATTTTTATAAGATAAGAAAATTTGCATTATTCTCATTTTTGCAATGTTTCGACCATATTTTGTAAATGTCCTCAAATCTTTAACCATTACTTTCCCATGATTGGATAATGAAACATCTCAAATCTTATTAGCTTAATAAAACATTTAATAATTGCAATCACCGAGCGTTCATTTCTAAGGTGAAGTATGCCGTGTATGTAGTTGTTTTACGACTTTCCTATAACTCGAGAGACGTGACTGCTAATAATAGAAAGAAATTAATGACGTTTCTAATAATAAATACATCAGCACTTCCTTGCGATGTACAGTTATTCGATTTAATATTCGAACACTATGGTATTTGCGAAATTAAAGCTTCCTGTACTTACTTGCAATGTGATTATCGAACTTTCTGGTCCGTAATGAGTTATAGCGCATATTCTAGTTTACAAATATGTAAAATAAAATAAAATAAAATACATTATTTTTTATTGTTTTCCACATAATAAATCATAAACGAAATTAGACCCGATATTGGTGTCGAAAAAATATTCGGACACTTAATATTACATAAAGTTTTTTCTTATTTATTGTGTATGTAACAACAAAATTATAATTTTAATACTAATTTAATATTTTGTGGGATATCCTTTTTGTCTGATGACGTGTTGCAGACGTGTTGGCATGTTTGAAATTTTTTTATTTAAATAATTTTGAGTAATGCGTTTCCACTCTTCCGTCAGTTGTATTTTTAATTCGCCTTTTGTTTTTATAGGGGTGGTCTGGACATTACGATCCAATAAGTCCCATAGATTTTCAACTGGACTTAAATCCGGTGATTGTGATGGAGGATGGAGCACTTTCGGACAAGCATATAATAAATATTCCTGAACTATTCTCGATTTGTGTTTCGGATCGTTATCCTGGTAGAACTTAAAACTATCGCGGATCGGATGCGTCGACTACACTTCTGCGTATAATAATTTTATATCTGCGCTTCACGACTCTTTTGTATATTTCAATATATATATATATCATAGTCCTTAGCATTAAATTTATCTTAAATTGTCTGCTAATATCTTAAAATTGAAGGCTGGGCTACGCTAACATCTTGTGACGGATCGTGGGGGGGGAGTCCCTGATGTGGAGAGCGGCCAGGGAAAGCGGTCCTCCACGTTCCGATACGCACACCCACGGGACGATTTCTTTAACCCATTCGAGACGACGATTTTTTGAAGGGGCGCCAATGCCAACGCACGCGTTCGGGAGAATCGCCCTTCCGGCTGCTCTTACGGGAGCGGTTCTCAAAGGAGGACAAAATGAAGAGATAACCCACGAATATCGACACGACAAACTTTATTGGCGCCGAATTGGGCCCCTTCAAAAATAACGAGAACGAGCCCCTTGCGGTACAAAGTTCGGTAAGGAACCGGGTTACGATCGCTAAATGCGGGAAAGGGTATCGCGACACGGGGGCTCACGGCGCACGCGAGTGATATAAAATTGAAAAAAAAACGTGGTACGCTGGAACTAAATGTAAAATACAACGTGAAAAAAAGATAACCCGAACTGGGGTCAGCGGCCCAGAATCGCGGAAAACGGGTGACGCAAATGGGTACACGAGAAGTTCCGCGAAGACGGTCCCTAGGGTCCTCGACGTCGGGGCTGGTGGTCCTACCGCCAGGAACCACCGACACGCACACACGCTCTTACACACGCTCAAAGATCTTACAAAGGGCAAAGATCCTACCTTTCCAATTCGTGTTCGGACGGGCGTCGTTATCCTCCGTCAGGCGGGCCCATTCAATCACTCGCACACACACGAAAAGAAAATACAAAAAAAAGAAGAAAAGAAGAAAATGGAAGTGGGCGGAATAAAGAGAAAATCCGATGCAAAGTAGCTGCGGAATTTAAGCTCTCGTCGCGGCTCGCTGACTTCTACCCTCCGTATCCGCGGTTCGGGTCCTCGGTGCACGGAGTTCCCCCTCCCCGAGGATTTCGGCGCCAGGGATAGGCCAAGTCGTGGTGTTTTAGCCAGTCCTCGGTGCACGGAGTTCCCCCTCCCCGAGGATTTCGGCGCCAGGGATGGGCCAAGTCGTGGTGTTTTAGCCAGGTCCTGGGACCCCTTCGGGTGGCAGCTGGGGTGGCTCGTCCCCCGGCCTGGCGTCCCTTGGTGTTGGCTGCCGGTCGCCCCCGTGGAGGTGGACGGGTGGCTCGGCGACCGGTCAGCAGGCGGCTTCCGTCGTTGAGCTCCATCCCGCGCCTCCGTCTCTCGGGTTGTAGTTTTCCCGCGACTGGGGCCGCGGATACCTCTTCTTTTGGCGGTGACTCTTCTACTGGTGCCGGGGGGAAAGGGGCGCGCAAATAATAAAAAAAAAATAAGAGATACCAAATACAAAAAAAAAGAAAAATCACTCTTCCATACGCCCCGCCGCGAAGGGTTGGCAGGACGGAGGAGAGAGGCCGGCGGGCCTAGTGGCCACTCGTAAGGTTGGGGTTTTCCCGCGACCGGGACCGCTTCCCTCTTCTTTGGCGATTCTTCCTGCGCCGGTGGCCGCATGCAAAGGGGGCTGAGGGGGAGGGACGCGCAAGTATATAGAAAAAGAATAACATACACCCGCGGCGAGGGGTTTGGCAGGGCGGAGGAGTGAGCTCGACGGGCCTGGTGGCCACTCGTAACGATGCATAAAAATATGCCTCGTTACAATCTATAGAAAAAACTATTAAAAATAAAGACTGATTACATATTTTAACATCATCAAAATCGATGAAAAATAAACAAAACAAATAATTATCGCTTATTGCGCTTATCGCATGCAATGAATTAATTCCGTATCATGAAGGACAGGTGAGTAAACACAACAATATCTATGTCAAACAAAGTGCGGGGTTACCCTGCAATAATAGTAATGTTATCGATATGATATAAAATGTCTATAATAGAAGTTATAAATACTCAGTTATAAGTGCTTATTTTAAATTTCTTTTTGTCTACTACTATATTTAGACATTTGAAATGTTCTCTTAAATGTTTACAATTTCATCAATTATTGTTAATGTTATTAATGCGTAGAAGATTTAATATGAGTTGCATGTACTTTAAAAACCTTATCAACAAACGAATATGCTTAATATGTTTACATGATCTAATAATAACGATAATATAATATATTTACATTTTTCTGTAATTTTTACTTGAATATTTTCACAGCCATTTTGTACATAAAATCATCTGTACATGGCACCTGTTTACGTAATTTTGAACCATTATTTATCATTTTTCTACCTTCATAATTATTGCATGTTAATTTATACTATTTAATATTTTTAAATATCTAAAATTTTGTTGAATTTTTTAACCGACTTCGAAAAAGGAGGAGGTTACTCAATTCGATCAGTATATTTTTTTTTTTTTTTTTTTTTTTTATTGACTATATGAAATAAAGAAATTTGAAAATTTCGTTATTGTAATATGAAGATGTTCAAATATATACCTATAGATGGTAGTATTCCGATCCTGACGCAAGATAAAGCTTTTCCTAATACATATAACCATTGAGATTTGACTTATTCATTAAAACTGATTCATTAAAACTGCCACATCTACCAGTGAAAAGAACTCAGCAAAATAACTCGATAACTTAACTCGAGAAACTTGGAGGACATTAAGGGTAAACTGCGTTTGCTACTATACCATCCCACATCTTGTATGGCGAACGTAGTAAATATGGCTATCAATACGATTCAGGCTAAATCCACACAAGTATTTCAGAAGACGTTAATTGTAGGAACATTTACGCGTATGTTATCCTAACTCGTACATTGTCTACGTGTACATTAGTATGCAATCTAAGTTTTCGTTTGATAAAAATACACAAGGTTATAGGTTAATGATAAAACGACTGAACATAGATTAATTTTTATGAAAAACTAATTCGAAAACATGGAATAAAATTTTTCTATTTAAGTCTTCGTTTTGGAGAAAAACGGCTGTAAATATATGTAAGCCTTTCTTGGGTGGACTTTATGCCAGGATAAATAAACACAACAATCCGTGGTTGCAGTTAAAAACTATAATATAATTAATAATTAAACAATAATAATGAACAATAATACTCTATCTACATAATACGTTTACCGCACCTAAAACCGTACAAATTGTCGGTGTTTACATTCGTTCTTAGGCTTTCGTTACACTGACTCGGTTTTGTTGTTTTCTTGGGCACTGCGTAGTCGCCCCCACTCCACCTGTCACGTGGCATTGGCGGGCACACTAAGTTTGGGGTAACGTCAAACTTACATCCCCCCCTTCAAGTTGAGTGGACGGCTTAGGAAATGGGTGATAAGGGATCAATTTACTGGTGTGAAAAAGGTTTGATTCATTCTTTCTGAAACCTCTATCAACTATATATATCACATTAGATACTTTATTTTTTATTTTATATGGACCTGTTCTAATTGGGTCTAATTTGTTTCTGTTCAATTTATTACCATTTACTATATATACTAGGTCTCCAACTTTGTAATCTATATAATTTGTATTCTTATCATAATAATTTTTATTTTGTCTGTGAGCTTTCATTGAATTTTGGAATGCTATTAATCTATCTTCTTTCAAGTTACGTTCATTACTAGGGTTTAGTTCGCTTAGTAGAGTTGATTTGTCTTTTCCAGTGAGCAAATAATTGGGTGTGAAACCTGTTGAACTATGAATTGTATTGTTATATTCTTTGACACATTCTTGTGCTATAATGGGCCATGGGCGATTTTTGTTCTCAAATATTTTACATCTTATCCTGTTGATTAGTGTTTGATTCGTTCTCTCATTTAAACCGTTAGAAAAAGCACAATCCACTGCTGTGAAGATTAAGTTTATCTTTTGGGACCTCAAATATTGTTTAAATTCTTTCGAATTTATACCTGCATATTGGTCTGTGAATAAAGTTTTTATGTTATTGTCCTTTTTTATTGTTTTTATTAGTTTAATAAAATCTTTCGCGCCTTGTGTTTTAGACGTTGATATAAACGCATACCTTGTAAAATGATCGATCAACAAATGCAAATACTTCTTTGTGCTTTTATTTCCTGCGAAACCGCCTATCGTATCTAGTGCAACGATCTCGAACGGCTCTGAGGCTGGGCCTAGTTGTGATAGTGGGGCTTTAAAGTTTCCTATTCTGGTCTTATTTTTAATGCAAGTTTCGCATGAACGACATATCATTTTAATATGCTTATGCATATTTTTAAAATAAAATTTTTGTGTGATTGTCAATTCTAATTGTTTTGTTCCTATATGCCCTTGTTTATTGTGTACATCTTTAATTAGAGAGATACCAAACTCTTCAGTTAACCAAATTTTCCTTTTATTATTTAATGTCTTATAAATTATGTCATTTTCAATATCATAATTGTTATCTAATTTTAATTGTTTTTGATTGTTTATTATTTCGTCTATTTGTAAAAAATGTACTATTTTTATTACTGATGTTTCGTCGTCTTTGTTTTCTTCTAGAACCGGGCTTCGGGATAAACAATCAGCTTCTAAATTATTTTTACCCGGGTTATTATGTTCGGTTCACGTTTAAGAGCAAAGCTGGTTTCTTTTAAGAAAGTATATATAGAAAACGAGAATGTTAGAATTTGGTGCTTCGAGATTTCGAGATCTACGAAAATGGAAATGGGCAATTATTTCAAATTGTTCACATTGCAAATCTTCAATTCCCAAATTTCTAAGTTCGCGAAATTCCAATGACAACAATTTTCATATTCTCATATTTTTCAGTTTTCCAAGTTCTTGAATATCTAAATCTTCAACGTTCTAAATAAGTTCTTAAAATTTCAAAATCGTCGAACTTGGATATTCCAAATTTTTCCCAAGATTTACTCAAATTTCACAATACCAGAATTCTGAATTGAAAAATTCCCGCACCTTTTAAGTTTTTAAGTTTTCTAGAAAATTAAGATTTGCTCTTGACTCTACGAGTACCGCGTAAGTCTTTAATGTTAATTTTTCAATTTCCAAACATTTATGTTTTCAAGTTCCTAAATTGTTTCAAACTATTAAATAATCAAATTTAAAAATTTTTAATTTTCAAAGTTTCTGAATTTGATATTTTCAAATTTCTTTCAATTTGCAAATTTCCATACTTTCGATTGCTAAATTTTCACAATTACCAAATTGAAATTCTTGCAAATCTTTAAATTTCCAGACTGGTTACTAAATTTCTATTATATTTTTAAATTTTTAAATTTTAACTTTCTTAAATTTCTCAAATATTTAAAATTTCTTAAATATTAAAATTTCGAAATAAACAAATTCCTATATTTCCGAATATTCATATTCTCTAATTTTAAAATCCCCCAAAATAACAAAAATCAATGGGAGGGGCCACTTTTTCCTTGTTCACTACGATGTCGATAAGGCATTCACAATCAGATTTATTCTTGATTGTACAGTCAATAGCAAATCTGGGATTCCTCAGGAAAAATATGAAAACTGAAAAGGAAGAAATATGCAGGTGTCAGTAGAAAAATATTGTAAATTCCTAACTTTGAAAATTTTCAATTACTTATTTCTCGAATCTTCAACTTCATAAATTCTCGAATTTCTAAATTATCATATCTCAAAATTTTCTGCATTCCAAAATTTTAATATCTTGTACATTCATAAATTTTCGAATTTCCAGATTTTCACGTTCTAAATTTTGCCACCAGCATTTCAAAATTCTAAGGTTTTCAAATTCTCCAAATTCCTACATTCCAAAGTTTCCTATTTCTTAAATTTTCCAATCTCCAATAATTTCCAATAATTTGTAAATTTTTTAAATTCTTTATGGAATGCGGATTTGCTGTTGACTGTACAGCAGCGTATCAGTCCAAATCAACGTCTGTCGGAACGGTCGGGTGATCCCGGCCTTAACGATTTAACGCTGAATGAAACATTCTTACGTCATCGTCGTATGATTCCCATGACGCGACGTCACAATGACGCGTCGATGATGCTGCAAAACAGTGTCTAAATATTTGTTCGCGGCTGAATCGGATCTTCCGGGAAAAGGTTCCGATTATATTTAGTGTAAATTGCGTTAATTTGAAGAGCACCGTCCGGAAAGAAGATGCTACGATAAGTTTTTTGCGCTTCCCACTTCCGACTTCCTTTTTTTCTTTTTAAACGAGCTGCTACTCGATGGTATCTGAATTATTCCCGTTAAGCACACGTAACTGAAATTTTCCGATGACTAAAAAGTTACGTAGTAGAGCAGAATCATGACTTGCAGTAATTAATTGTTCAATCTTTACGCATAGAGTAATTCAATGTCTTCAGATTATCTCGTTCCTACAGGCTATTTTAGATTGTATTATTCTTCTATTTTATTGCAAGTTTCAAGGATCATTGTCTATATATACAAGCCATGTAGCTTATTCAGGTTTGTAGTGTGGATGGCCATATTATTATATTCAACAGATTTCTTCTTACATACAAACATATATGCGAAATACACAATTTTAATTTGTCTAATAACGTTATTCATACTTGTTTTATTGAAAAGCTACAATATGTGATAACCCTGTAAGTAAAGTATTAACACAAATCTCACTTGTTCGTTAATAAAACGCGGGTATAAAATGTTATATTCAGCATTGTACGTTTAGGGCTTCTATTAATGGCTGGACAAAAACCTTGACTTCAATTTAATCGACATTATACTGGGTAGGTGTAGGATTTTTATGTATTTCGGATTATAACTAAAAAAAGCAGAATGACAAAACGTTAAATAATTGTATTTTATTCTACCGTGTCCGACGTTTAAGTACTTAATTTTTATTCCTAATTGCATGCACTTTTTATAACAAGTGACACATTGTAACATTACAATAAAAGTATCTAGTCTATTCCACCAGTTAAAATTATAAAATATATAAATTTTTATTTGATTATAACGATTGAATTATCCATTGTAAGTAACCTAGCCATAAAATCTAATATTGATTATGATAATTGCTAATGAAATTATTGCTAGTTTTTTGTTTTTCCTTTTGGGGGTTGAAAAAATATTATTATGAGAATAAAAGACAGGAAGTTCGGATATTTAAATGTAAGAATGTATCTAGCCCTTTATTGTATAGTTGCAACTCAATGCAACTTCATTGCGAAAACGTGCACTTAATAATGATTATAGTATAACTTTGGCACTAAGTAAGTTATTCTAGTAGTATTTATCTTATATCAATTTGTAAATATCGGGGAATATATATTTGCAAAAAAATCAAAGTTTATTGTTGTTAGAGGGACACCTGAATAAATGACGTTTTTTCTCTCTTCACATCCTGTTGGTTGGATATCACGGTCACTACTACTATTTTTTTCCATTTTCCTTATTTTTTGTAATATGTCTGTATGAACGTCTATTTAGAACTTTTCATCACTACTACTTATAATAATGAGACTCATTCGTGTTTGATCATTTTATCATTGTTTCAAAATAAAAAAATGGATAAATAAATGTGTTGAAAATATTTATTAGTAAATTACGAATTTACTAAATAATATTTACCAAAAGAACATCAGTTTTTCAATTTTCTGACTTATAGATACGAGATCTATCTGTAAACTTCGATGCTTTAATACGAACTAGGTTCAGTTTTCAAAATCTGTTCCTTTAAATTTAGACTTGCTTATTCTTGTCAAATTTCACCATAGTGTAAGGCATGCTTGCTTACCAACCTTTCTTCTATAAATCATCCTTATCGTTCTGTTCAAGTATTTCTCACGTTCCCACTTCTTACGTTCTCTTCTGACGTAAAAACCCACTGATATTTTCTTCATATATTTTGGTAACTGTACCGTATTTTCAATTGCTTCCTTGTGCCATTTTAAGGAAACATCCGGTTCTCAAAAAGTTGTGAAAGGGCAAAATATTTAGAAATGTAGGTATCATGAAATTTAGGTGTTTAGAAATCTAGCAGCTTGAATATTTTGAAATTTAGGTATTTAGAAATATAGGATATATTTTGAAATTTAAGTAGTTAAAAATTTTTTAATTTTGATATTTCAAAATTTGGAAATTGTGCTTATTTTATTATAGAACAAGAAATACATATATCTTTCACCACCATCTTCAATATCTTGTATTTTTACTTGTTCAAATTTGCGTTACGTCTATTGAAAAGAAACAACATACTTGTTTTAATAGTTGATAAACTTCTTAATCGGTTGAATTTTTTCATCAACAGGAAGTCATTTTTGTTTTGTATTTATAACTAAAATGATTGCAATATACGCAAGCAGAATGGTTTTGTACACAGCAAATTCAGATATATCTGTTAATTTGTCATGACCGGTTAGGAAGTTAAAAATACTCGTTAAAAGTTAAAAAATATAATGGAAATTGAGTTTCTGTTAATAAGTAAAATTTAATTTTTGTAAAGCGAAGATTGGAATTAATTCTTGCATATAACATATTCTGATACCCTCAAAATGTAATATATCTTATTATAATATAAAATATATCTTAAAAATTACAAACTCTTCATGAACTTGAATTTTTTATGGTATTTTAGACGTCTCAATATGCTTTAAATATGCGACCCCCCTGTGTAAATCTTTAAACGACAATTTTATTGTCACAGTGGTACTTTCTCTTTCTCGAAGAAAGACCGCGACGCCGTTGCGGGCAATATGAATGCAGATTTTGCTCGTAGACAGTCGTAAGTTTTATATTCAAATTCGTTAGGTTTAGCCCGCCTGTCCTACATGAATTATAGCAATGAGTCGAATAGATTGAATAAGCGGAGGGGTTCAGGATTTTTATTTTTTTGCATCGAAAACTGTTTCCGTTAGTCATTCTGAAACGTTTACATATTTACATTATTCATTTACAGCCACCGTTACATTGCTGTGGTAATTGTTAAAAAATGAAGGTACAAGTTAAGATCTTTTGTATAAAGAGAAATATTTTTTCACCATTTACCCCAACTTGTTCTATATTCACAGGCAGATACCGTGTAGTGCAAACGAAATTCACGCACGAATGACTTAACGCGAAATCAATATAAAATGAATATATTCAAAGAGCGTTATTTTCACACGGCCGGATTGCTACAGTGATAAGATAGTCAGCAAGAAATACATGAACTGTATCCATTATTGTACGTGCGAATGCTCGAACTTACTGGCGATAGCTCTTTAACACGAGAACAACCGGTACTGAGTGTGTATCGGTTATATTTTTATAGCACAAAATAATGGAAATTATAGCTAAGAGAATGATAGAAAATAAATTAACGTTGGAAATCATTAAACAACAATGGTCTCTGTACGAATAGAATAGAAAGTACTGAAGGTATAACTTATCGAATTAGAAAGTTTCTGAAATAAGACGCAAATAGTATTGATGATTTACCTTAAAATTTAAAAAATCTTGACCATCCAGAAAGGACTCACATGCATCGGCAACAGGAGTACATAAAATATAGAATGCATTTTCAGTTAATAATTTACTTTCGATCGTTAATTGAAATTTTCTTAAATTAAGTATAGGAATTTAATTATTAA